GGGGGGGGGGGGGGGCTGTGATCTTGGCAGAATGTGCACAAATTCAGCACACATCATATGTTATGCAGCAACTTATATTTCTAATGTGATCAACCGTCACATGAAAATCTGGGACATCTATTATTTCCAATTATTAAATAATTATGTATCGATATTTTGCCACTATCGGATGAGCGGAGCTCTCTAGTGGGTACATAAGTCATCATGAGTGCTTTGAGATAAGATGGCGCCAGGTCATGTAAGCAGCGGTAGCACAAAGTTGCAATTTTGTACTGTATGCAAGGGCGGACCGGCAACCAGTGCAGCTCTCTCAGAAGTGTTTTAGCATGCTCGAATTTGCGTTTGCGAAGAACAATGCGAGCCGCATTATTCTGTGCTCTTTGAATTTTATCCAGGAGCGTAGCTGAGAGACCCACCATGAGAGCATTGCAGCAGTCCATGCGTGATAGCACGAATGCAGGCATCAGCCTCTTTGATGCACCTAATGTTAAGAAAGGTCTGATATGACTAATCCTGCGCAGCTCTAGAAAAATTGCCTTGCAAAGCATGTTAATATGATTTTCCATAGTAAGTGTTCTGTCTAAATAGACACCCAGGTCTCGCACTGTATGAGTAAACTCAATCTGCATACCTGAGAGAGTAAGTGATGTGTTTTTTTTACAGATTTTTGTTTCTGAGCAGTGGCAATAGGGATCAGCTCAGTCTTTTCATCATTCAATTTGAGCTTGTTTATGGTCATCCAGTGGTTAACTGACTCCACTGTCTCCCGTGTCGTACTAAGAAGTTGAGGGAACTGAGAGGGTATCACGGATTGTGTATCGTCCGCGAACATGTGATACAGCATGTCAAATTGCTTGATCACTGCACCCAGTGGCTGAACGTACATAGTTAAAAGCATCGGGCCTAGGACCGAGCCCTGGGGTACTCCGAATTCAATTATAGATTGCTTCGAGGTCAAGCCGTTTGAAATAACTGACTGGACCCGATTTATCATATACGAGTGAAACCATCTCAGGACGGTATCTGTGAGACCGAACGTTTTTTGCAGACGCTGGAGCAGTATGCCGTGATCAAGCGTATCGAAAGCTGCCGATAAATCGAGTAAAGACAAAATGGATACCTGGCCCTCATCACAAGACGACAGAAGGTCGATTTGACCTTGAATGGTAGATTTGAGATGGGGCGATAATTTTCCATCACATTTGGGTCAAGATTTGCTTTCTTTAACAATGGCGTTACTATTGCCTCTTTAAAAGTTGATGGAACAATTGATATATACAAAATCTAGGATCCTTCTTCCATCATATTTTAGTGGCTTTGTCATTAGTATTATATACATATCTTTATAGCTTACCATTGGAGTATACATTTCGTTGTTATATTATCTAATAATAGTAATACTAATGACAAAGCCACTAAAATATTGTCTTGTGTGATTATAAAAGGTTCTTGTAATTTATAATTAAGCCAAAGGTCAAAGGTTATGCATAACCAAAAGGTTCAGGGCGTTATGAATTTATAACGCATTGCAATACGGTAAAGCCCTAAAATTCCGTGTGTTTTCTTCTTGTTACTGTCCAAAAATGTACAGGTGCAACACAAAAAGGGGGAGGGTGTATGAAAATAATAACTTTTGCATAGGTAATATATGGATGGCGTTTCATATGTTTCTTAGCTTGGAATTGATTAGTTGTAAACTTAAAGGCTACCTATAAATGACGTCATGCATCTAAGGGTAGGTGAAGGTCTCAAAGTTGTGACGATAAGGTA